TATTTCTAGTTTGATGCCTTCATGGTCAGAAAAGATGGTTGGTATGATTTCAATCTTGGTGTATCTGTTGATGTTTGTTTTGTGCCCCAGTATATGATCAATCCTAGAGAATGATCCGTGTGCGCTTGAGAAAAATGTATACTCAGATTTTTTTGGGTTTAGTGTTCTATATATGTCTGTTAAGCCCAAGGACTCTAGATCCTTATTTAGAGCTTTAGTGTCTTTACTTATTTTTTGTCTTGTTGATCTATCCATTGTTGATAGTGGTGTGTTGAAGTCTCCCACTACGTATGTGTTTTCTCTGATGTCTGTTTTCAGAGATGCCAATAGTTGTCTGATATATTTTGGTGCTCCTTCGTTTGGTGAATATATGTTAATGAGTGTTATTTCTTCTTGAAGTATTGTCCCCTTGATCATAATGTAATGACCACTGGGGTCTCTTTTTATCTTTTTTAAGTTTGAAATCTGTTTTATCTGATATGAGTATAGCTGTTCCTGCCTTCTTTTTTGGTCCATTTGCTTGTAGAATTGTTTTTCATCCTTTAACTTTTAGTCTATTTTTATCTTTTGCAGCTAAATGTGTTTCCTGGAGACAGCAAAAGGTTGGGTTTTGTTTCTTAATCCAGCCTGCAACTCTGTGTCTTTTTATTGAAGAGTTTAGTCCATTTACATTTAGAGTTAGTATTGATATGTTAGCATCTGTATTTGCCATTGTGTTTGTCTTTCCTTTGATTTTATTTATTTATTCTTTTAATAACTTTCTTTGGCCTTCTTTTGTTGTTATTCGTCCCTCTGAGGTTCTGGCTTTAGGACTCCATGTAGTATTTTTTGGAGTGGGGGTTTAGTCGTAATAAAATTCCAGAGTCTCTGTTTGTCTGGGAAGGTCCTTATTCTTTCTTCAAAGAGGAAGGAGAGCTTTGCGGGATAGAGTATTCTTGGTTGGCATCTGTTTTCTTGGAGTCTGTTGACTATGTCCCTCCACTCTCTCCTTGCCCGTAGTGTTTCTTCAGAGAAGTCTGATGTCAGTCTGATTGGTTTCCCTTTGAATGTTATCTGTTTCTTCCCTCTTGTTAGTTTCATTATTTTTTCCTTGTCTTGGATTCTTGGGAGCTTTACTATTATGTGTCTGGCTGTATTTTTCCTTTCGTCATGGAAGTTTGGTGTTCTTCTTGCTTCTTGTATATCAATTTTCAGCTCCTTCTTCGCGTTTGGGAAGTTCTCTTCAATTATATCCATGAATATTTTCTCTGTTCCTACATCTCTCTCCTCTCCTTCTGGGATTCCTATAACTCTTATATTTCCTTTCCTCATGGAGTCAGATAGTTCCCGAAGTCTTTCTTCGGTCTTTTTCCTTCGTACTTCTCCTTCCTTTTCTGTTTTAGTTCTTTTTATTTCTGTGTCTTCAAGAGTACTTATTCGTTCTTCCATTTCATCTATTCTGCTTTCATTGCTTTTCCCAGAGTTCTTTAGCGTCTCCATTAATTCTTTGATCTCCTGCATTTCTTTTACTTCCCTCTTTAGGGACTCAATTTCATTCTTCTGGTCATTAATTATTTTCCCCTTATCATTGTTTTCCTTTATGACTTCTGTCAGTTTTTTAATCACAGCAATTTTAAATTCTCTATCTGGAAGGCTCAGAAGTTCTTCCAAGTTACTGTTGTTGCAATCTGGTAGATGGTTTTCTTTTTGTGGTGTGCTTTTTTGCTGAGGAGTTCTGGGTTGCATGTGGTTTTTCTACTCCCTACTGCCTGTTTTCTAATTTGCCGTATTCCTTGTGACACTGTGTTGCTGGTACTGGCCGGCATCTTGGGCGACCTTCCCAGCTCACCACTGGCTCCTCTGGGGAACTTCTGCTGGGTTCACAAGTCTCCAGCAAAGAAAGGTCCCTGCTGCAAAATGGCGATGCGAGAACGTGCTCCCCTGCACGCCCGGTCTGCCCCAGCAGTGGGTGCTGCTCCCCTCTGGGCTTGAACTGCAGGCTAGAAGGCGCCTGGTATGGGCAAGCCTCCCAGCTTACCTCTGTCTCCTCGGTGAGCCTTCTGCTAGGTTTACACAGTCTCCAGCAAAGAAAGGTCCCTGCTGCAAAATGGCAATGCGGGAACGCGCTCCCCTGCATGCCCGGTCTCAACAAATATTTATTTAAATGAATGTATGCCATTCAAAGTTTTAAAATAGGAATTTGCCTATTAATGTAGTTTGAATTTTTTATATAATGACACAACCCTACATCATTGCTTTTTTTAGTACTCTTATAGTATATGCTTACCATACAGTAAAGACAGATTTCTGAAATTTTAAATCAGGCAAGAAAAGATAGACATATTATATATAGTTGGTAAGAATACTCTAATTTTTTCATATTACTGAATTTTAAATAATAAAATCTTAAGGGTTTCCATCATACAGTCTTATTTCACAGGCAAGAATCCATGAGTTCAAATCAAAAGTTATCTTGGACTTTATATCTTGAACCTGGCTTTAATACCATCCCACCCACGCTAACCTCTCTCTTAGGCAGTGAATAGTCTGCTTTCTGTCACTGTAGTTCGCATTTTCCAGTATTCTATATAAATGAAATCCTTTTAGTATGACTTCTTAAACCCATTATATTTATTTTTAGCTTCACCCATGTTTTGTTATCAGCAGTTCCTTATTTTCCTTGATGAGTTAAAGTTCATTGTATAGACTTACCTTTTGATATGTTTAGATTTTTTCTAATTTTTCACCTATAAAGGAGCTAACAAATGCTGTGCACAATTCTTTGTGTGAACATCCACTTTCTTGTCTCATGGATAAATTCCTAAGACTGGAATGGTTTAATCACATGGTAGTCGAATGTGTAATTTTTAAGAAAATGTGAAACTGTTTTCAAAAATGATTGTAACATTTTACTCTCCCACATGTGGTTAAGAATCCCCAGTTTTTCCAAATGTTTGCCAATTTTGACATGTCTGCCATTAAGTTCTGAGTTGTTTTTTGTTATTTTGTTGGAGTTTTTTTTTTTTGATGTTTGTTCTCTCTACTTTTCTTTTTTTTTAAAGCTTTATTTATTTATGCATACAAGAGCTGGGGTACAGGCCAGAGATGAGGATTCACCAGAGAAAGAGTGGGGCACAGAACAGGCAGACTATCTGAAATACTGTGCTGAGGGAAGCAATGGGCGAGACAGGAGAGGTATGCTGCGCCATGTGGGTTGCTCCCTGGCCGCCAGGATCAAATTCATGCTTCATTGGCTGCCATTGCTTCATAGTGCAGTGCTTAATCCCTTGCGCCACCAGGGAGGCCCCTGTTCTCTCTGCTTTTCAATTTTGAAGATTCTGTTGCTGTATCTTCTAGCTCAGAAATTCCTTCTTCAACCATGTCCAGTCTACTAATAAGCTGACTGGAGGCATTCTTCATTTGTTAGTCTTTAGCATTTTTTCATTTTTATTTTTCATTGGGATTTTCATTTCTCTATTTTGTCCATCTGTTCTTACATCCTGCCTATTTTATCTGTTAGAGAAGCACATTAATCATAGTTGTTTTAAAATCCCAGTCTGATGATCCCAACACCCCTACCATGTCCTATTCAAATGCTTGTTCTGTATCTTTTGCCTTTTAATTTACTTGTAGTTTTTTTCTTGATATCTGGACGTAATGTAATGGGTAAAAAAAAAGATCTGCTATTAGTAGGCCTTTAATAATGTAGCAGTGAGGTGAGTGTTCTATAGTTCTATGACTAGGTTTCAGTTCTTTAATGATCCTTTCCCTCTGGATTAAGAACTTCACAGTAGTTTCTCAGTTTTTTTCTCTCCTGATGAGATGAGACAGGATGACAAGAGTAGACTGAAGTTGTTTCCCTTCTCCCATGCACAAAGATAGAGTTGTGTAAGTTGTATATTTCCCTTCCCCAAGTCACTTAGGCTCTGGCAATACCCCGGCAGGTTAGTCTTTGGTTGACTGGTTACTCCTGAGGACAGGCCTAGATTCGAACAAAGTGCTCTGGCATCTCCCTTTCCTCTCTCTCCCTCTGTTGGAAATCCAAGGGAGAAGTTTTCTTAGATTTACTGTGGAATTCTGGTTAAGCTCCTGGAGGTAAATCTCACAATATGGTGCTCCCCACCCTCCATGAATATGTCCTCCTGGAGTGTGAGTTGCACATGCTGAGCCTCCAACAAATCACCAGTTAACAGTTCAGGATTTCTTTCCCCAGCATTGGTTCCTGTAGCAGTTTCCATACACAAGTCTCTGGTCCTCTTGGCCCTGATTCTCTGCATGTGTCTCTGTCTCCAAATTTGGGAACAGTAGTTTGGAGCTGCTTGTACCTCTAATGGACCTAAAAGAGTTCTTCATTTTTCAATCCATTTAGCTTTTTACCCATGAAGAATGCTGTGGTGTCTCTGTCTTCTTACATGTGGAACCAGAAACCCTCAATTTCAAGCAATTTGATTTTAATCTAATTTATTATAATAAATTTTAAGTTAATGATCTTGCTCTTCACCCTTTTCTTCACCAATCCTGTCCTCATCCCTCTTTCCCCTAACCTTATCTTTTTCTTCTATTCATCCTATAGATCTTAACTTAAATAGGTAACTTTTACAAGAAACTTTCCTTTACCCTCTAAAATAACTGGATCACCAACTTGAATGACTTATCACACTCTTTACTGACTACATAACACTCATTAAACTTTGTGAACTTGCTTATGAGGAACTTTTGGTTTCTGGTTCAGTGTTGTGGCCCCAGTGTCAACGTGTGATGCCTAGTAGAACTATACTATTTTTATTAACTATATCGATAAGAAGAACATTTGTGAATACCTGAATTTCAAATACATTGTACATTACTTGCTTTTGCTTACACAATAATATTGAACAAAGCAGAATTCTAAGTGACATGATTATCTTATGGCTTTTCTAAACCATGTTTTAAATGTCAGAAGCTAGAATTAGGAAATAATTATTATATGTTTGATCCATTACATTAATATATGCATCTATGTGGGCTTTTTTTTTTTTAAGGATGCAGAAGAATATACAGATTTGCCAGTAAGACACAATGAAGATCATATGAATAGTGAGCTGGCAAAATGTCTTCCCTTGGAGTCCAATCCTCATTCATATGACAGCCCTCACACCAAAGCGCATCTCCTCCTGCAGGCGCATCTCAGCCGTACCATGCTGCCCTGCCCGGATTATGACACTGATACCAAAACAGTTTTAGACCAAGCTCTCAGAGTATGTCAGGTATGAAAGTCATTTCTAATATCTACATTTTCTCCCATTATGTGTGCCTTTTTTCCTATATTAGTATTAGGATAAAATATCCTAAATATTTAAAGGATAAAATATCCTAAAATTAAGAATTTTCAAAGGAAAAACAAGTAGCAATGCAGTAAGATCACAATTTCAGTTATTCACTGATTCAGAATTTATTGAAGGTAAACTAAGTGTCAGGAACTTTTCTAGGCACTAAGCATATAGTCATGAACTACTCAGCAGGCCTGACATGACAGGTTTTCACTAACAATGAAGAGACAAAAATGTAAGTCAAGAGGTGGTAACTGCTGTTTTAAAAAATAAGTATTTTGTGGGGTCTCCCCGGTGGCGCAGCGGTTGAGCGCTGGGTTGCGAAGCTGCCTGAGGCCTCTGCGACGCCGGTTCGATCCCCGGCTGCTCCCCGGCCACCGGAGGAGGGTCCCGCATGGCGCGCAGACCTCTCCTGCCGCCCGCTGCTCCCCTCAGCAGTGTACTTCGCTTCTGCCTGCTCTGCTCCCCGCTCTGGCTCTGGTGAATTCTCTCACCCTCCCGCGCTTCTGACTGTACCCAGTGCTTGTATAAACAAAACAAACAAACAAATAAATAAATAAATAAATAAATAACATGCCTCTATAAAAAAAAAAAAAAAAATAAGTATTTTGTGGAAAGCATACTAAAAGCTGGTAAGTGTTGTTTTGCAGTTTGTTTTTTTACTTTTTCTAATTTTCTTTTTTGTTTCAAGAAAAGATTTTTTTATTTTAATATATTTTTACATCATTTTTCATTTTTGCACAATGTATACATTTTCATTTTGGTTATAAACCCCGTAAAATTCCCACCACCCTTGTTTTGATCCAACTCCCTTCTCCCCCACTGTAGTATGTCTCTGGATTATAGCTGCCTGATGATTTTGATTTTTACTTTATTATAATTTTTTTTTCCTGATCCCTTTTTTGGGTCTTCTACATTCCTTTTTGCAGTATTTTTTAATGTGGTATTCAGGAACTGCCTTGCATAGAAAAGGGGAAAGGAGTGAGCCACAGGGCTATCTAAGAATGTATTCCAAACACTAAAAAAAGCTATGGCTTCGTTCTTGGTTTATATAAGGAAAATGAAGGAGGTCATTGTAAAAAATGGAAAAGGATAGTTTAAAAGGAAAGAGGGTGAAGATTATAGAAAAAATGTGGTCAGGTGATGAGATTGTAAGCCATGGTAATGATTTAGATTTTACTCTGAGTGCGAGGGAAGCTACTAGAGCACTAATGTTTATGTTGGTTTTATCTATGAATATTTACCATATTAATTAAAACAGAAATTATCAAATATTTATTTCTTTATTTAAGAATAACCATATTAAACCCATTATTTCATATATATAATATATTTAATTTCTTTGCTTATCTAAAATATTTGAATGTTTTAAAATAAGCTTCTAACATTTTTATTATAAGAAAAAGCTAATTTTATTATTCCAAAGAATAGGAATGTTTTATAAAATAAGGACAGCACTAACTATTGAGGAAGCAAAAGGGAAGCAAGGCTATAATAAACACATAAATTTTGTTGACATTCTTTTGTAACTAACACATGGTTTACCTCTCTAGAAGATGATTTGCCACTCTTTATTAGTCACACTTTATAAACAAAGGTTAAAGTTCCTAAAGTTTTAGCTATGACCGGGGATACTCATTTGTGTTTCCTACAACTCTTTTTTTTTTTTTTTTTTCTCAAACACTGATCTGTTAATGAATCCAAGGCTCAGAAATGGTTGGAGAAAAGTTACAGGAGGAATTAAATTTTTATACTTACATATATACTTAGAGATATACATATAAATATATACATAAAAATTATAAAGTGTGATCAACCCATTGATAATTTTCTTTTTTATCATTTGGTCAATAATGACTTGCTAGGCCATATAGTAATAGAAATCAGCTGTTTCTAAATGAGTCTATTTTTAAACTTGCTATTGGGAAAAAGATTCGGTCAGGTACTTTTAGTCTCTGTTAGATATTTTTATAGGTTGTTTCTTGGGATGAACGTTTATTTCTTAAATATTTTTTATCCTTCTACATAGCAATTATAAATAGTTCTCTCTTTGATTGTAGAAGTATATACACTTCAATGTAGAAAATTTGGGGAAAAAACATTAAAATTAAAGTTATTCAGAATGATTAAACATCTTCATTCCCACGACTGAAATCATTTTCCTTTTTAAAAAAATTTTCAAATTTTTAATTAAAAAAATGTAACTTTTCATTTTGAAATAATTTCAGCTTATGAAAAGTTTATAAAAATAGTACAAAATTATCATATATTCTTTCCCCAGCTTCCCCCTAAGATTTGCATCTTACCTCAGTACAGACATAATAATCTACAGACTTCATTCAAATTTTGTCAGTTTTATCTCACTAATGCCCTTTGTCTGCACCAGGTCCCACATTGCATTTAGTTGTCTATGTCCTTCGTTTCTTTGTCTTTCATGACCTTAGCACTTATGGCCAGTTATTTTATAGAGCTGTCCCTTGGTTTGGGTTTACCTGATGTTGCCTCAATATTACACTGAGTTATATATTTTTAGCAAGAATACCACAGAAGTAATGTTTCACCCTCTCATCAGGAAGCTTATGACAGAGGTGGCTCATAACTAGTGATGTTAACTTTGTACATTGATGTGGTTTCTGTAGCCCTCTCCACTATAAGGTTACTGTTTTTCCTATTGTAATTAATTGGTAACTTGTGGGGAAATTTTTTGAGATTATGTAAACATGCTCTTTCTCATCGTGCTTTTTTCTCATCTATGTTATTTTAGTATCTACTGATGATTTTTGCCTGAAACAATTATTACTATTGTGATTTTTTTTCATTTCCATTGTTCCCTAATTTCACTAAGAACTCCATTTACTTGTTTGCATTGTTCGCTTATTTGTATAAGTGTAGACTTGTGCTTATTTTATTCTGTTACGTACAATTTCATTGCTATCATTATTTTACTGCTCATATTATCTCAGGTCAACCTGGGGCCTCTCACACTGGCTCCGGTATCCCTTTGACATATCACTCTCATTTCATGAACTCTGCCTTGCATTCTGATATCTTGTACTTTCTGTTGCCACAATTCTGGGGCAATAGAAGCTTGGTTCATCTTATCAAAAATCGTTCTAGATGCTAAGCTCTAGGTACTACTGACTCCATCATTTCTTAGGTGTCTTATTATCTAAGGCCCACTCAGTGGACAAACCTAGGAAATATAAGGATATATACACAGGCATGTTTATGTATTTCTGTATCTGTTTATATACTTATGTTTATGTATGAGTGTGAAAAAATTTGTATACATAAAAACATAAGTTGATTCTAATCCCTGCAATTTGAATCTAACACCAAAGAGCTCACTTTCGTCTTTCCTTTTTTATTTATAACTGTTTCTCCACCTATGACAAACCTCTCATTGACATATTTACTTATGTCATCAGTTCTTTCATACTTCTGATGTTGTTTTAAAACTACTAACCTTTACTCATGCAAAAAAAAAAAATAGACTAGAATAAAATAGTTGTTTGGCATTTGGAACTATAAACTTGGAAATTCTTTTCTTTAAAAACATTAGTTTTTAATTTAAAGAATTTAATTTAAATTCTTTTCTTTTAAAACATTAGTTAATACACAGTGGAATATTACTCAGCAATCAAAAAAGATAAACTCATGCAATTTGCAGCAACATGGATGGAGCTAGAAGGGATCATCCTCAGCGAAATAAGCCAGAAAGAAAAAGGAAAATACCAGATGGTCTCACTCATAGCAGGAATTTAGAAAACCTAAATAAGGGGAAAAGACTAATTATAATAAAGTAAAAATCAAAATCAACAAGCAACTTAAACCAAAGACACACTACGGGGGTGGGGGGGGAGGGAGTAGGATCAAAACAAGGTGGAATGGGAATTGCATGGGGACTATAACCAAGATGAAAATGCATACATTGTGCAAAAATGAAAAATGATGTAAAAAATATATAAAATTTAAAAATAAATAAATAAATTTTAAAAAGAAAATATAAATTGCAAAGCCTCACAAAAAAAAAAGCCAACACATTAGTTAGATTTATGTTAAATGTTGACTTGGATTTTCAGAAGCCACCTGGGAAGAAACTTAACTATAAAGAGATGGTCATCAACTTCATATTCTAAATCCTCTCATTGCTGCAATTTTTTGTAAGATTATGTTTAAAAGTAAACAAACCAGGAAGAGAAAAGAATATTAAGGTGGACAATGGAAAATTGAGGGAGAAAATTGAGAGTTGATCAAATATTCCATGAGCAATTGACATTTTTATTATTGTACCTTATTGTTCTCATTTGATATGTTTATTCTGCTGCCCTTGGAAAGCATTGGTTCAAACGGTTTTCCAGCTTGCAGCTCTATCAACTGGTTGAAATTATACTCCCACTCTCATGAGACATCAACATGACCTTGTAGTCTGTGTATGGCACTCAGTGCTACAACCCTTACTATAAATTCAGCTCTGCTCCTGTTTTAGTATAAAGCCTTAGGCAAATCACTTAACCCCTGGTGTCTGAGTAAAAATAACAGCTTGGAGTGGGGCTTTAGTTAATGTTTATAAAGTAAACATCAATTTGAGGACTCAAGAAAACAGGGCTATCACAGTATTCTCATTCTTAGTTCTTTTATTTCCTTGCTTTATCATAGTCATTTAACTTTAAAGTTTTTTTATGCTTTGCATTTTATAGAAACATACCTTTTTATAGAGCCATTATTTAGATGATTCTCCCTGGAGTGACATCAGAATGTATAATACAGCCTGATTTCCCTCCATTGAAATTTATATAATAAGGTCATTTGTGTCATTTTTTTGTCGGAGGTGTTTTGTTATGATTCCTTTTAATATTTTATGGTTACTAGCATTTCCACTTCCATCCCACCCAACAAAAATAAAAGACAAAATTACACATAGCTCAATCTTTTAA